CACAACAGAAGTCGTCTCAGAGTACTTATCTATTCATATATATAAAGAGCTGGCGTCACATCCCAGGTTGCAGTTTAGTCACCTGATGTAAAATCATCCCACTTCTTCCTCTTCTCTCTGCGTCTATGTTTTATTCAAACAGTGAAAACTAAACCTCTTCAGGTCATAGATGGAAACAAAACTGCAGTGTTTTATTGTGTGGGCATATAAAGTAGCATTTTTCTCTCCTGATGTCCACACACCAATCCAATAAGTTATTTATGGATCTATGTTCAGATTTTAACACACGTTAATAAATTCAGTTCATTCAATTCCTTTTATTTATGAAGAACCAAGTCACAACAGAAGTCGTCTCAGAGCACTGAACCATTCACAATACATAATGCTGATCATAGATGGTTGCTGTCTCACTCCACCTCCACAGGGTTCCCCATCTCTTCCAAAGAAGAACTTGACAACCACCAGGCCCTTTTGCGTCACTCTCACTTTTCCTTCCAGGCACCAAAATAGGAAATTCTTCCTCTGAATCATTTGTTTTCACCGTGTTTGGCAGCCATAACCGGCTTGCATGGGTGTTATTCATCCTCGCTTGGTGACCCCTGCATCACTTCACCGTTTTTCCTCCAGCAGTTATGTTTTTTAAATACTGTGGAATTTTATCGGAAACTGGCATTACAAGGAGAGGAAGCAACGCTGTAAACACCATAATTTAAAAATGCACATTTATGTAAATTTCTCATGGGTTACTTGAGTCAGTATTTCAGTTTTAGAATAAGAAATGTACAAGTGCTTTATTAGAAATGTCTCTGCTTTTTGATTTAATGCATTAGTTGGTCTCAGAAGCACACTTGTTTTTTTAATAATCACATCCCTTCCCTGTGCTTTTGGCACAAACTCACTGCTCTTTGACTGGATTGGTCAAAATACAATAAAAATGATCGTATAATGGCTCGTGGACTTTTTATTCTCATTTAGAATAAACATATGAAGTAACAAAGTTTTATCATTTATTAAAATCAATTTGTAAATTTAGACACTGGCGGGTAGATTCATGTTTTGTGTGAACCTTCCCCACCTTTTAGTTTTGCTTTGGTTCAGAGCAACAACACATCTACATCTGGTGCTCCACTTCTTGTTGATAAACCTGCTGTTGTGTCAGACTAAAGCTCACATTATTGAATTAATTTTAAACTCTGAGTTCACGTGATTCAGGACTCGATAAAAAAAATAAAAAAAATCCAATTTACCAAATCTATTTTTTTATGCATTTTCAGTGTTAAAAAAAATCCCAGTAGTAAATAAATATAACTTATTAATATGTAGTTTTGTGCTCCACATTTCCATTTTATTAATATATTATTATTCAATTATTATTATTTTATTGTACAATTTGACAGATTTTAATTTTGTGTTAATTTGCAAAAGTCTATAAATTTTGTTTTTAAGGATCTAGACTTTCTTGGAATTTTTTAATGTGGTCTGAATCAAAATAATTGTAATTAGCCTTCCAAACATTTGTTTTGGCCTATGGCTGCTTATTGCATGTTTTCAGGCCAAAACCTTTGAAAAAAAAAGTAGATTTCTTGCCAAGGTTTTGTCACCTAAAAAAACAAAACTCTGAAGAAACCTGACAAGAACTAGTGAAAGTATTATGTGTTGTATCCTGATGCATACTCAATAATCCAGGTAGAAAAATCTAAAAAAGTTATGTCTGCTCCTCTGGACATTCAAAAAAACAAAACAAAACAAAAAAAAATTGTACAAACGTTTCGTCTTTCGTCCGAAAGAACTGAAAACTGACAGAGTCTTTCGGATGAA